GTCCCTGCAGACATTCCTTCACATGGTGAAGGATTGAATCAAGCCACAAAATGTGATCATTTTACCTCTATTCACATATTCAGCCTGTCTACAAGCTGCATTCCAGGGAGAAGTGTCCATGGGAAGGAATCACTCCCATATCTCCCAGCAGTGTGGCACATGAAAACTGCAGTAAGATAGAATCATAGAATCATAGAATCAGCCAGGTTAGAAGAGACCTCCAAGATCATCAGTCCAATCCTACCATGGTTACTAGACCATGGCACTAAATGCCACGTCCAGTCTCATCTTGAACACCTCCACAGATGGTGAATCTACCACCGCCCTGGGCAGCACATTCCAATGCCTGAGCACTCTCTCTGTAAAAAATATCTTCCTAATATCCAGCCTAACCCTCCCCTGGCAGAGCTTGAGTCTGTGCCCTCTTGTCCTGCTGCTGGTTGCCTGGGAGAAGAGACCAACCCCCACCTGACTCCAACCTCCTGTCAGGGAGTTGTAGAGGGTGATAAGGTCTCCCCTGAGCCTCCTCTTCTCCAGGCTAAACAACCTCAGCTCCCTCAGCCTCTCCTCAAATCTAAATCTAGATCTAAAGTTTCTTTCACTTTCCCTTGTTTAAATAAACCTCTGGAGCTTTTGAAACCAAACGTTCTCCTCTTGTCTTTCCAGGGACCTCAAAACTGTATCTGTTATGTCCCAGATTTTGAGATAGGATGGGAACTGCATCCAGAGCATGGAAAATGGAGAAACCATCCTTCTGTGTGGCATAAGTGGCAGTCGAGGTCTCCTTCTAGTCCCACCAGCCTCATCTCCAGACAACCATCACCCACTCTCCAGTTTGAGCATGGAGGCACAGACTGAAAGGGAAGTGGAAGGATGGAAGAAAGGATTGTCTGAAGGATGGGGCAGGAAGAACTTTGGTTCATGAGGAGGAGCTGAAGGTGAAGGAAGGATAATAAGGGTGCAGCTCTCAGGAAAGGATTGTTGTTCATAGGGGAGATGTGTGTTGGATGCTGCTCAGGACAAGGAGTCATGTTTGGGCCTTGCAAGATGAGCTCTTTCCATGGATGGATGAGTAGTAGCTTGGTCTGGGGTGTGTGTTGGGTCCTACCACTGTGCTAGAACATCACACATGGCCTTCCACAGCTTTCCTGCCCTGGGCACTGTGCCTACTGCTTGAGTTAGGACTGCAAAGGGACACCAAGAAGCCTCTCCTCACTGGTGTGCTCCTGGGCTGTTGGGCTCACCTGTTTCTGGGTGATGCTTGCCCAGAGCATCTTGCTGTGGCTGTGAAGTATCTCCATGGCAGATGGAAGGACACACCAAGGAGGCTTCATGGCCTTGGGTGTTGGTGAGTGGTGAGTCCTTTAAGGAGATCATCAGAGGTGATAGTGTCACTGCTGGCCATCATGCATGTGGAGAAAGCTCTGAAGCAAATACCTTGGTGATGCTGTGGTGGCTTCTCCTGAGCATCCCTCACTGTTGTTGTCACTCCTACTTCTCCATAAAGAGTGAAAGTTACTCCTAAGTGCTGCAGCCCTTCTGGGAGCCACTCTGGCAGTCACACCTGCACCACCTGAGCTAGCACTGAGGCCCCTTCACAGTGGTGGCTCCAGTGGCCCACTTGACTCCCTACACCCCTCACACTCTTCCAGTCAGACCAGGTTTCCTTACCAGCTCAGCCCCAGAATTCACACAGCAGAGCCTCAGACCTCCAGGTCCGTAAATTTGTTTAATCATGGTGCAACAACAGTAACAGCTGGAGCTGGTGCCTTTGAGGAGAGACCCTGAACAGTGGAACCTCTGGGCTTTTATATCACAGACTCTATCAGGTTGGAAAAGACCTGAGATCATCAAGTCCAACCTATGACCTAGCACCACCTTGTCAACTAGACCATGGCACTAAGTGCCATGTCCAGTCTGTCCTTAAACACCTCCAGGGCTGATGACTCCACATATCCTTCCAGTCTAAGCTCAGGGAAGTCTGGAGTCATTGGCTCCTGCTGCAGTGTCACCTGGCTGTGCCACATGGCCCTTCCCAGCTCAGGTGGTGGCTCTTGGATGGTCACAGAGGGAAGTTTCCTTAACAGAGACACTAATGCAATGAGATATGCCACAAACACAAAAGGAGCAGCAAAACCACCCAGAAGGTACCTGGATTTCTGCCTTTTGCAGGTAGAAAGTTGGCTAGATAAGGTGGAACACCTGGCAGGGTGATCAGCTTCTGCTTTGGCTTTGAACTTCTCTTTAGGGGAGAAATACTAACATTGGATTTTCAGCTTCTGAAGACTTGGCCTTCAAACAGCTTTTTTTTCCCTCCCAGGTTTTAACCAGTATTTATTTGTTATCAATTTCCTTTTTCATCTATTCCTTTTTTATTGTTTGTTTTAGGTTAATAAATGCTGTGAAAATATTTAAACAGTAGGCAGGATTGGCTCCCTAATCCTGGGACATTTACAAGGCTGATTGTGGGGAAGAATTCAGCATTGTCTTTTGTTGTCAACCTCACTGATGTTCAAAGGACATTAATACTCCCTTCCCGTTAGTCCTCTGAACTCCAGACCCTTTTCCTCCCCTAGGTCATAGAATCCTAGGATTCCCACACTGGTTTGGGTTGGAAGAACCTTAAAGATCTTCTCATCCCACCCTCTGCCATGGGCAGGGACACCTTCCACTAGCCCAGTTTGCTCCAAGACCCATCCAACCTGACCTGGAACACTTCCAGGGATGGAGTAGCCACAGCTTCTCTGGGCAACCTGTGCCAATGTCCCACCACCCTCACAGGGAACAATTCCTTCCCAATATCCCATCTTAATCTCCCCTTTTCCAGGGCAAAACCATTCCCCCTTGTCCTGTCACTCCAGGCCATTGTAAATAGTCTCTCTCCATCTTGTAGCCCTTGCAGGTACTGGAAGGCCACAATGAGGTCACCCCAAAGCTTCTTTTCTCTAGGCCTACCATTCACACAGGTGAACCTCAGGATGCTCCACAAGTGCATGTTGGGAAAATGACCCATTTCTCTCTTCTCTCTTCCTAAACCATGGGAGAAACCAACATGGAAAAAGGAGCCAAATTCCACCAGCATCTTTCACCATCATAAAGTTCAGTTGATGTCCTTCACTTGCAGGAAAGAAATATGAATCTTTCTTCTTTTTTTTTGAACTGATTTTCAAGAAGGAAATTAGCAGTTACCCAGAAGGAGAGGAGAAGAGTTCACTTTTCTCCCTATTCCGGGAAAGCAAATCAAGAGATATTTCCTCTTGGCTCAAGTTGGTCCAAGTTTCTCCCTTTTTTGGCCACACCCAGGTCAGCCCTGGCTAATTTCTGTCCTGGTGCAGGTGTATAAAGGGACTGGCTTTTTCCCTAGCCCTGCCAGCTCTGCAGAGATGGCAGGTAAGGTCGAAGTCTTTTCATTTCATAGCTGGGTTTGATGTTTTTGGGGTGGATATTGATGATTCTGGGGTGGATATTGATGCATTCCATGGGATAACCCAAGGAGATGGAAGGCAGAGGAGAGAGCTGATGGTTCTTCACACTTGCTTCTCCTTCATTATGTATTTAATTCATGGTGAGAAATGAGCAAAGAGCTTATAAGCCTCCTGCAGCAGTCCCCTGCAATATGGGATTGCAGGGAATAATCAGCCTTCTATCTACTGGGGATGGTTGAGGAGTTTCCACAGGATGTAAATGTAAGATAACCTCCCCACTGTGTGAAATTCCTTAGTTCTTCCCAATGTTGTATGTTTTTCCTGTTCTAGACAGTTAAACTGTTGACTAAGTGACTTGAAATAGATCTAATCACAACCTAAAGGCTAAAGATCTCCTTTCAGGGCAGGCACTGGGTCATGGATCTCCTGTCTGTGCCATGGGGTGAGACACTGATGAGAATAGATGAGACATATTTCTGGTGGTAATGTGAAACAGGAATAGAGATGAATTTGAGGGAGCAGCAGGAAGCCTGGCAGAGGTGGTTAAGGGCTGGAGGAAAGGTGCTGGATGTGGCAGCTTCTTTGGCTCAGTAACAAGGCAGAGAGGATGTGTAGTGTCAACCTCCTTGCCACCAGCTGCTTGTGGACCCTCTCAAAGGCAGGAAACCAGGACACTCTTCCAACATCCCTTGGAAATGTAGGGGCACCACTGATCTCTTCACTCTGTGAGCAGTGACAGGACCTAGGGAATAACCTGAAGTTGTGTCAGGGGAGGTTAGGTTGGATATTAGGAAGACTAGCAGGGGTCATTGAGGGCTGAAGGGAAGGTGATGGACATGGCATCTTGTTTGGCTCAGTAACAAGGCAGAGAGGATGTGTGGTGTCAACCTTTCCACCAGACCCTTGTTGACTCTCCTAGAGGCAGAAAACCAGGACACTGCCCTCTTCCAATTCCCCTTTGGAAAAGTGAGGGGGTACCACTGGTCTCTGCTCTTTGTGACCAGTGATAGGATTGAGAGAATGGCTGGAGCTGTGTCAGGGGAGGGTTAGGTTGAATATCAGGCAAAGATTCTTCCCCCAGAGGGTGTTTGGGCACTGGCACAGCTTCCCAGGGCAGTGGTCACTGCTCCAAGCCTGACAGAGCTCAAGGAGTGTTTGGCCAATGCTCTCAGGCACAGGGTGGGTTGTTGGGGTGTCCTGGGCAGGGCAGGAATTGGACTCAGTGATCCTCCTGGGACCTTTCCAACTCCAAATACTCTGTGATTCTGTGACCTTCCCAATATTCTCCATCACTGAAGCTGAACTGTACTTGGCTGCCTCCTCCTTGGCAGCTATTCAGCCCAGTTTTCTGAAGGGCCCACAGCACAGGGATGTCCCTGTGTCCTGTCAACACCTACCATGTCCTGCTGATGGACCTGGATCCTGACAGAGATATTCAAATCAAACCTGACAATCTATTCTGATGCTCCAGTGAGACCCTACCCACCCAGAGGATTTTTGTTACATTTCTCTCTAGGCATAAACCCAAGAATGACTCTCTTGGGATCCATCATCACTCTGTGCTTGGTTGGGGCCATGGACTCCTCACTGAATGGTGAGTTTCTGTTTATCCTTTGGCTTCTGCTGTGCTTGAAAGGGTGTGAATCGAAACTCAGGTTGAGTTCCTACTTAGATATTGTGCCAATGAAACAATATCCTGTAGATTGATCCATGTACAAGTCAAAAAACTAAGAAATTTGCCTAAGGAAATTCCCTAATTAACCAACAGCTCTTCCAAGAGCATGATCATCCTTTTGTGACAGGGAACCTGATGAGTGATCAGAGCTTTGGCTTCTTCTGTGCATTTCCCCTCTCACAGGGAAGATTAGTTTGGGAAGGGGCTGGAGCACAAGAAGAGGCTGAGGGAGCTGGGAGAGCTCAGCCTGGAGAAAAGGAGGCTCAGAGGGAACCTTCTCACTGTCTCCAAGTCCCTGCCAGGAGGTGCAGCCAGGTGGGGTCAGGCTCTGCTCCCAGGGAACAACAGACAGGATGAGAGGAAACAGCCTCAGGTTGTGCCAGAGGAGTTTCAGGTTGGATGTGGGGGAAACTTTCTTCATGGAAAGGGTAGTAAAGCATTGGAATAGACTGCCCAGGGCTGTGGTGGAGTCACCATGCCTGGAGGGGTTTTACAGCCATGTGGATGTGGCATTTGGGGCCATGGTTAGTGGTGGCCTTGGCAGTGCTGGGGAATGATGACCTCAGAGGGGTTTTCCAACCCTTAAGATTCTGTGCTTCTAACAAGGCTGAAAAATAACTCCCTAAAAGCCTCCCAAACCAATACTGTGAAACGGATAATAACCTGCTGATCTATATATAGTCAGTTCTGCTCCTGTGAGTCTCAGGACCTCAGCATTGAAGCAGACAGGTAAAAGAACCCCAGCTCAAGGTGTGCAGGCAGCTCTAAACATGCAGTGGGAGCTGTGTGTGAGACAGATAAGTGTGCTGCAGCACCCAGGGGTGGGCTGAGATCTGTAGCTCCTGGTGCACATTAGACTATCCTCAGTTTTGGCTTTTTCTTCTTTATGAGCAGAGGCTTCAGCTGTGCTCTCAGACTTTTCTCTCCTGAGCATCATCAATGAGGCCAAGCAGCAGTGCCCAGGGCTGGAGTCACCATGCCTGGAGGGGTTTTACAGCCATGTGGATGTGGCATTTGGGGCCATGGTTAGTGGTGGCCTTGGCAGTGCTGGGGAATGATGACCTCAGAGGGGTTTTCCAACCCTTAAGATTCTGTGCTTCTAACAAGGCTGAAAAATAACTCCCTAAAAGCCTCCCAAACCAATACTGTGAAACGGATAATAACCTGCTGATCTATATATAGTCAGTTCTGCTACAGCCATGTGGATGTGGCATTTGGGGCCATGGTTAGTGGTGGCCTTGGCAGTGCTGGGGAATGATGACCTCAGAGGGGTTTTCCAACCCTTAAGATTCTGTGCTTCTAACAAGGCTGAAAAATAACTCCCTAAAAGCCTCCCAAACCAATACTGTGAAACGGATAATAACCTGCTGATCTATATATAGTCAGTTCTGCTCCTGTGAGTCTCAGGACATCAGCATTGAAGCAGACAGGTAAAAGAACCCCAGCTCAAGGTGTGCAGGCAGCTCTAAACATGCAGTGGGAGCTGTGTGTGAGACAGATAAGTGTGCTGCAGCACCCAGGGGTGGGCTGAGATCTGTAGCTCCTGGTGCACATTAGACTATCCTCAGTTTTGGCTTTTTCTTCTTTATGAGCAGAGGCTTCAGCTGTGCTCTCAGACTTTTCTCTCCTGAGCATCATCAATGAGGCCAAGCAGCAGGTAGACACAGCTTACTTACAGGCCCGACAAAGGTGAGTTCTGTTTGCACCAGGGCCCCAACCGTACAAGGAAATATGATAAAATATATGTGTGTTCCTTCTCTTTTCCAATGTGTATTTATTATGGAGAAGCCTTTGTTCCAGGGCTTTCCTTGGCAGAGTTGGAGGGATATTTTTGCCCAGTTTGGCTGGATTCTGGTGTGCTGTCTCAGGGCCAGGGCCATCACCATCCCCAGCTATTACCTCCTCACCTACCCTGCCATGGGCACCTTGTAGTAGTCTGTAGTGGTATGGGCACACCAGGCACATGGCAGTCCTCTCCTAGCAGCTGGAATTCTGCCCTGCTCCAGAAGGATCACAGTTGTGTCAATGGAGAGGAAACCAAACCTCAGATACCCTTTGAGTACTGTCCCAAAAGGCTGGTTCCAGGCAGCAGGATGGTTTGGGAAGGACTTTCTCTCCATGACATCCTGCAACACTCAGCAGATGTCAAACTCCAGGTATCCTCTGGGTATTGTCCCTAAAGGCTCGTTCCAGGCAGCAGGGGGGTTTGGGAAGGAATTTCTCTCCATGGACACCTTGTCACACTTAGTGGAAGCCAAACCTAAGGTATCCTCTGGGTATTGTCCCTAAAAGCTGATTCCAGGCAGCAGGATGGTTTGGGAAGGAACCTTGGGAAGGGACCTCTCTCCACCCACCCTATGGAATGTATTTCATTGTGCAAGACAGAGCCATGGGAACAGGAAGAGATGCAACAAGATGTTGTCCCTCTGTTCACAGCCTGTATCTTGCAACATACTACACATAAGATTTTATCCCGTCACAGTTGATTGATCCGATTTCCCCATGATGTGACAAAATTTATTGTGACAAGGAAGTAAAGCCAGCTCAAAGTAGGGGATCACTGTGAGTTGTTTGCCAGAATCACCTGAGCTGACATGCTGATGCATAGTCACTTTGTCCCAGGGGGCAGAGCCTGCCTGTGACCCAGCAGTGCTGGCACATCCAGCTACACCCAGCCCAGCCCAGAGAGGAGATCTGATTTCAGCACTTCATGGGGCTTTTTTCTGTCCAGCTTAAAGAGGAAACTAGAGGAACAACATGCCAACCCCATGGATTTCCTGAAGCACCTAAAGGACCCTGTGGGAAAGACCAGATCTGCAGTCCGTGCTGCTGATTACATGGAGACTACTTTGAAGCTTCTCAAAGAGAAGCTTCATCTTCCTGGGGAAGAGAGATTCAATGTCACAGGTACTGTGCTTTCCACCAAAATGTCTTACAAACAGCTGAGAGCAGCAAATATGCCACAGCAGGAGTGTGAGAGCAGCTCTGCCATGACCCAGGGAACTGGAGATAAAACCTTCCCTCCAACAGCCTCAGGTGGATAGAGGCAGACCAGACCCTCAGTTGTTTATTCATCATCTTTGGCAATGCCTGTCTTCTGTCTTTGGGGATAAAAACAGCCCAATAATAAGTGTGATAAGGCTGGGACAAAACCCACTGAGTGCAGGAGATTTTGACCACTGACAACCATCTATTTTCCACTCTGGGCCTCATATCCAGGCTGTATCACCATGGAAGCTCATCAGTTTGTTCCCAGCCTGGGGTATAACCTTGCTGGTGATGATGCTCCCTGGAAAATTGTTCCATGCTCACCCAGTTTCCCTAGCCCAAAGGTGAAAACTGATCCACAAAAGGGTTTAGACACCCAACTAACAATTCAAATCCAGATGTGATATATCCACAGCTCTGACTGAGCTGACTCAAACATTGACCTACAATACTAAGAAGCTAAAACAACAGAAAAGAGCAGGATCAGCTGTTTCTTCCCATGGTTTCTCTTGCAGACCTGCTGAGCAGAAGGCACAAGGAGATGATTTCCAAAGGCACTGGCTGTGACTATCAGACTCGTTCCATTAGATGCCCCAAGAGGGACATGTATCGAACCATCACTGGGCAGTGCAACAACAGGTAGGACTTGTGTGTGGCCAAGGAGGGTCTTAAACCTGTGCTCTAACCCAGGGTAGGTGACTCTAAGGGCATTTGTAAAAGTGCCTTGCAAGGAGAGTGAGATAATCAGTTTAGTGGCCTATGGATGGTTCATTTCTACCTTTGCCTGGCAGCAAAAAGGTGGAATTTCTGGACAATTTCAGCTTTGAGCACATATGCTGTTCTGGGTGAAGGAAGGGACTTCTTGTGGTAGGGGGAGGTGAGAAGTTGAGCAAGCAGATTGTGGGCTGTGACAGCCAAACTCTCACTCAGCTGGAGGCTCCAGAAGATCATCCCTAGTGTAGAGGTGCTTGGAGCACCCTGGGCTAGTGGACGGTTTCCCTGCCCATGGCAGAGGGTGAAACTGGATGAGCTTTAAGTCCTCCTGACTCAAATCACTCTGGGATTGTATGAAACAACCCATGTTTCTGTGCACAAGTCCTCACAGAAGTGTAGAATCTCAATGCTTGGAAGCTTCCAGCCCCAACTGGACATGGCAGTGGTAGCCTAACTCTGAGGCTGATTTTGTGTGGGGCACCAGTGGAGACAGAGGTGCTAAGAGAGATTTAAATGTCAAACAAAATTAATACAGATTTAAACACCAAATGAAATGAATATAATGGCAGGAGGAATCTGCCTTAATGTTAAAAAGATCATTTTTCTCCACAGTAATAATCTTGGTATCATTTCCTTCTCAGTGTTTTCCTGCTCTCGCTTCTGTTCCTAGAGTAATCAGACATGGATTAAAGGGCTGGGAAATGTTAGTCTGTCCAAGCCTGTTGATGTCTGAGATAATAATTGTGTTTGTTTTTCTTGTGCTGCTGCAGAAAACACTCCCACTGGGGATCCTCCAACCGTGGCTTCGCTCGCTGGCTGCCAGCAGTGTATGAGGATGGAGTGTCCATTCCCAGAGGAGCAATTGCAGGAAAGGAGTACAATGGATTCCCACTCCCTCTGGTGAGAGCTGTTATCCTAACCCACCTGTCAGCATGGACACTGCCCTCACTGCAACCAGCAGAAAAGAAACGGTGGCAACACATAGAGTGTAAAATGCTCAACCTTTGATCTGAGGAGCTGATTTGAGGCTGGTTTTCTTCATCTCAGTAATGGCTTTGGGGTGATGTTTTTTGTTGGAGACAGACATGAACAAAAAGTTTGGGAATACTTCACTAAGCAATTTCCAAGGTGTGTTCCCCAAGGATTGCTGCAGGAAGCACCGCAGGATGCTCAGGCACACCAGGGTGTGCACAGTCACAAGGCTTGGGTGTTCCTCAGGCTTCTTCTTGACTCTCTGGAGCAAGGTTCAGCTCTAACAGGCTTTCCATGAAGCCAAGTTTGGCCAAAGGTCTGTGGGGTCAAGAGAGTGCTGCTTATTACATCTGTTTGGATAGACTGGGGCACTACATGGGGTTGTTTGATGCTGTAATTAATTCTTATGAGCTTATCTCAGATCATCTTAAATCTCATCTTAGATGAGATCATGATCTCATCTAATATAAGATCATGATCTACACCTACCTTCTTGTCTACAACTACCTGGAGTAGGTTGTGGTGAGGTGGGGATCGGCCTCTTCTCCCAGGTAACAAGAGATAGGAAAAGGGGAAATAGCTTCAGGTTGCACCAGGGGAGGTTCAGGTTGGATATTAGGAGATATTTCCTCACTGAAAGGGTGGGTAAGTATCAGAGCAGGATCCCCAGGGAAGTGTTGGAGTCACCATCCCTGGAGGTGTTAAAAAACCAAGTAGACATGGCACTTCACAGTATGGTTTAGTGGGCATGGGGGTGTTTGGTGACCTTGGAGGTCTTTTCCCACCTCAATGATTCTATGATCCACAGTGAGTGTTAGACTGAGGGGTGAATTTCCTGTGCCATATGCTTTGTGATGGCTCTGCTTGAGCAAGGAGGTTGGACCAGATGAGCCACTGTGGTCCCTTCCAACCTGACTGACTTTGTGAATTCCCCGTGGCAGAGACACTCACAGACATTTCCCTTTCCATTCCTTCCAGGTCCGACAAGTGTCCAATGAAATTGCTCACACAGCCAATGAGAATGTCACTGCAGACCAGGAGCTCTCTCTTGTCTTCATGCACTGGGGCCAATGGGTCAACCATGACATCGACTTAGCCCCTGCCAGCGGGGAAGGAGCAAGCCTGGAGCTCCTGTGCCACACTGAGTGTGCCTTCAAGCCCCCCTGCTTCCCCATTAAGGTACCATGGCTCTCCCTCCATTCCACACATTCTTAAGGCAGTAAAACCAAATCCACATGGCTTCCTGAGGCATCATTTGGGCTGATGCTGTTCAACATATTTGTTGATGACATGGACAGTGGATTGAGTGGACCCTCAGCAAGTTCACTGACCACACCAAGTGTGTGGGGCAGTCACAGCTGGAGGGAAGGGATGGGACATCAAGAGGGGGCTTGAGGGGCCAATGCAAACCTCATGAAATTCAAAAAACTGAAATGCAAGGTCCTACATCTGGGCCGTGGCAATCCCAGGCACAGCTACAGGTTGGGTAGGGCAGTAATTGAGAGCAGCAATGAGGAGAAAGACTTGGGAGTGACAGTGGGTGAGATGCTCACCATGAACTGCAGTGTGAGTTCACAGGCCAGAAAGCCAATCAAGTCCTGGGCTGCATCAACAGGAGTGTGGGCAGCAGGTCCAAGGAGGTGATTTTCCCCCCTCTGCTCTGCTCTGCTGAGACCCACCTGGCGTGCTGCACACAGTTCTGGTGTCCCCAACAGCAGAAGGACATGGAATTAGTGGAGCAAGAGCAGAGGAGGTCACAAAGCTGAGCAGAGCACTGGAGCACCTTCCCTATGAGGACAGGCTGAGAGAGATGGGGCTGTTCAGTCTGGAGAAGAGAAGGTTGTGTGGAGACCTCAGAGCAACCTGCCAGGAGCTGAAGGGGCTCCAGGGAAGCTGCAGAGGGACTCTGGGTTAGGAACTGCAGGGACAGGACAAGGGGCAATGGGGAGAAATGGAAAGAGGGAAATTTAGATGATATACTAGGCAGAAGTTTTCCCTGTGAGGGTGGTGAGACACTGGCACAGGTTGCCCAGGGAGGCTGTGGCTGCCCCAACCCTGGCAGTGTTCACAGCCAGGTTGGATCAAGCCTTGAGCAACCTGCTCTGGTGGGAGGTGTCCCTGCCCAGGGCAGAGGGTTGGGGCTGGATGATCTTTGAGCTCCATTCCAACCCCTAAAATTCTCTGATTCTATGATCATCTGTGCTTGTTTGTGTTAGTTCCCCCCAGATGACCCACGGAAGCTGAGGCCCAACGTCTGCATGCCCTTTGTCCAGTCAGCATCTGCCTGCAATCCCACATCCTTCATCCGGGAGCAACTCAACGCCGCCAGCTCCTACATCGATGTCAGCACCTTGTATGGCAGTGATGATTCTCTGGCAAGGAGTCTGAGGAACAGCACCAACCAGCTGGGCTTGATGGCTGTGAACCAGAATTTCACAGATGCAGGGCTGGAATTCCTGCCCTTTGAGAATGTGACGAAGAGTGTTTGTGTCCTCACCAACAAGACTGCCAACATCCCCTGCTTCAAAGCAGGTAAGGGGCAGCTCTGGGGCCAGCAGTGGCCTATAAAGTCAAAAAGGATCAGTATGGTCAACTTCATGTTATTGGAGGTGTTTTCCAACCTCAATGATTCTATGATTCAGTGGTTCTATGATCCATAGTGAGTGTTAGACTGAGGGTTTTCCTGTGCCATGTGCTCTGGGCTGACCCTGCTTGAGCAAGGAGGTTGGACCAGATAAGCCACTGTGGTCCCTTCCAACCTGACTGACTCTGTGAATTCCCCATGGCAGAGACACTCACACATTTCCCTTTCCATTCCCTCAAAGTCTGACAAGTGTCCAATGAAATTGCTTAGACACTTGAAAGTCCTTTCAAGATATTTGAATAAGGGCCTTCAAAACATGATTGTGTGAGGCAAAAGACAGAAGACTTGCTCCCAAATAGAAAAACAATCAAACAAGAATTGACTAATTAACCAGAAAAATCATTGTAATTTCCTAGAATCATATGTTAAGGGATTGGAATGGACCTTAAAGATCATCAAGTCCCAACGCCCCCTGACATGGCAGAAAAGTTACAGCAAATCATCCTCCCTTTATAAAGTCTTTTCAAGTGCTTAAAACTTGTCAGGGGCTTTTTTCCCCCTCCTAGAATTCATCATTCATGAATAATTAACCAGAAAAATCATTGTAATTTCCTAGAATCATATGTTAAGGGATTGGAATGGACCTTAAAGATCATCAAGTCCCAACGCCCCCTGACATGGCAGAAAAGTTACAGCAAATCATCCTCCCTTTATAAAGTCTTTTCAAGTGCTTAAAACTTGTCAGGGGCTTTTTTCCCCCTCCTAGAATTCATCATTCATGAATGTCAATTGATGCAGAAGAGTTACAGCAAATCATCCTTCCTTTATAAAGTCTTTTCAAGTGCTTTAAACTTGTCAGGGGCTTTTTTGCCCCTCCTAGAATTCATCATTCATGAATTGATTGTCAATTGTCAACTTGTCAGCATTGATAGGCTGAGAGAGTTGGGGCTGTTCAGCCTGGAGAAGAGAAGGTTGTGTGGAGACCTCAGAGCAACCTGCCAGGAGCTGAAGGGGCTCCAGGGAAGCTGCAGAGGGACTCTGGGTTAGGAACTGCAGGGACAGGACAAGGGGAAATGGGGAGAAATTGGAAGAGAGTAGGTTTGGATTAGATATTGGGGAGACATCCTCCCCTGTGAGGGTGGTGAGGCACTAGCACAGGTTGCCCAGGGAGGCTGTGACTGCCCCCCCCCGGGGAGTGTTCCAGGCCAGGTTGGATGGGGCTTGGAGCAACCTGGGCTGGTGGAAAGTGTCCCTGCCCATGGCTAGGGGTGGGATGGGATGAGATTTAAGGTCCTTCCAACCCCAACCATTCTGCTTTCAGCATTGCTGCTGAAGGCCCATTCACAGACCTCCCAGAGGTGTATACAGAGGCACTTTTTCAAACCCAAACACTGCTATAACAGCAGGTTGTACCCTTGAGGTACAAAAGGAAGACAGACAGGAGATAGGTCACATTTACAGTTGTTTCACTATCATGTACAGCTATTTAATGTAGTTTAAGTTGCCCAAAGCCTCTTGTCCAATGGTTTTGGTTAAATGGTTTGCACAGAGAATATTTTCTGTGCTGCAATGAAATACCTGACACTAGTGATTAGTATTAGGAAGCTTCACCATGAGCATCACAGCCATGGTCACTATCAGTTGTTACTTGTCTGTTTTAACACAGAATCCTGCTGCTGACATTGAAAGCAAGGTACAAAATGCCTCAAATATTTGCATTTCAGGTGACAAACGTGTGACAGAAAACCTGGGCCTCTCTGCAATGCACACCATCTTCCTCAGAGAGCACAATCGCCTGGTCAGGGAGCTGAGGCAGCTCAATCCCCACTGGGATGGGGAAAAGCTTTACCAGGAGAGCCGAAAGATTGTGGTGGCCATAAACCAGGTACTGAGCTCTGCTTGTTCTCATCCATGCACTTGGGAATGGGCTTTCCACTTGGAAAAGGAGGAAAAGCATGTTTTGCATAATCATAGAATCATCAAGGTTGGAGGAGAACTCTAAGATCATCAAGTCCAACCATTAATCTGTCACTGCTCTAACCCCTAAACCCTAAACCAGATTCTCCAGTGCCAGATCCAAACACCTCTTAAACATCTCCAGGGATGGTGACTCCACCACCTGCCTGGGCAATATCCCAGTGCCTGAACACCCTCACAGGGAAAACATTTCTCCTAACATCCAATCTGACTCTGCCCTGGCTCAGCTCAAGGCCATTCCCTCTGGTTGTCTCCCTGCACCCATGGCATGAGAAACCATTCCGCACCTCTCTCCAACCCTTGTGTCAGGG